ATATATTTCAACTGCACGTGTGTTAGGAAATGGACGTTTTCTTTTCAACCACCCACCATTGGGTGCAAGACCTCTTCTTCAATGATCAGTAGGTGGCTGAGAGCACAATTACTAAGTCCTACGAGACACAGTCTCTTCCTGTACCCAGGGGCATCACTGCTCATTCGACCTGGAACGCTGCGATGTTGACAACATGGGCCACAAGCGCCAATAGAGGAAATTTACAAGGTGACAACATGGGCCTCACCATCGCCTTTTATTTAGAAACTATTAGAATGATGTCTTCACCTCTGTGAAGGCTGCCTTTGACAGGAGAGTGTTACAAAGGGTCCATAGGGACCAAGAAAAAGGGGAATCCGAACCAGACTGAAGCCCTCCCATAGGACAAGCCAAGCTTTGGTATGCCCAATCAATGGATGCTCTGAACAGCTCATCTGGAGAAGGGGCGTTGGTACTTACCTGACACTCCCTTTCTCTGTGAGCTGTGATCCCCACCCTTATTCGTTTGGTGGGATGCTATTCCGGCCAAGTATTAGAAAGGGTGAAGGAGAAGAAATACTTCATCATTTTGACTTTGTCAAAACGGGGGACGCTAGGGAGGAGTCCCATGGAAGAGGAGGAGCATCCTCTCAATTAAAGCCGAGCCTATCAGATGAGTGACAGAAGCATCATCCCAATCAATCAGTGGATGCTCTTCACAGCTCACAGAGGAAGGACCTGTCACCACGCCCTTCACAACACAATAAACTATGATTTACTTTTTCAATATTAATAGCATTATAGGGACAGCATCTTTTGAACTCTATTATACAGGTAGTCCTTGGTTAAGAACTGGAATTGGGACTGGAATTTCTGTTGCTTAGCATTGCAGGTGTGAAGGGTGACATCATGTGACCACATTGCTTACAAATGGCAATTCTGACTGTCCCCATTGCTATCATTAAACGAGGATTGCAAATTATTAAGTGAGAACATCCTCAGGACTTCCTGACAACTTCTAGCAAGCAAAGTCAATGAGGAAGCCACAGGAAGTTGCAAGTTTTGAGCAGCTTGCAAATAGACCAGTGGGCAGATAAGCGGCTGCCCCTGGTTAGGGAAAACTTAGCTGGACAGCGCTGGCGGTGCTAAGTGACAGGGTGCTCTGGTGCCCAAATAAATCTTTGCCATCTTCTGCTCTGATGACAAGCACTGCCTGGTGCTTTGTGAGGCAGCTGCTGACTGAGCATGGCCTTCCTGAGGCCTTGTAATATAGGTAGTCCTTGACTTACGACCACAATTGAGCCCAGGTTCTGTTGCTAAGTAAGACAGTTGTTAAATGAATCTTGTCCATTTTACAACCTTTCTTGCCATAGTTGTTAAGCGAACCACCGCCATTTTTAAGTTAGTAACACGGTTGTAAGGTGAATCTAGCTTCCCCATTGACTTTGCATGTCAGAAATTCGCAAAAGATGATCCCATTACCCCAGGACAATATAACTGTCATAAATATGAAACAATTACCAAGCATTTGAACTTTGATCATCTGACTATGAGGATGCTGCATTAGACATAAGTGTGAAAAAAGAATCATGTCACTTTTTCAGTGCTGTTGTAACTTTGAACTGTCACTGAATGAATGGTTGTAAGTTGAGGACTACCTATACCTTATGATTATGAGACAGATGTGTGGCAAGGAGCCACCTTATGAAAGGCCAGGCCAGGTGCACCTTGTCAGTACCAGGAAGAAGATGACAGTGGTAGTGGCTAAAAGAGAAGAGAATGGGGGTGGGGTGTTTGAGTTGAATAGCACCCTGAGATTGTAAATGCAGAATTTTAATCATGTGAGTGCAGAGCTGCTGCTGCTGTGGCCTTAATTTTAAGCTCCAGGCATAACTTCAAATAGTCATTAAGCAAGGACTACCTGTATAGCATATTTGATGGCAATGCATTTTATGGTTTTTCAAAATATTCTGTATTTACTTAAATGCAAATTATTAACTGCTACCTGAGGAACTGTCTCAGCCCAAAGGGTTTGGCCAGCCGCACATTTTCCGATAGAAGGGACATGCTGCAGATTCTTTCTGTCATGGAATTCTGTCTGGTGGAGTTCAGAGAACAGCCTTTTCTGCCATGGTTCCTGTCCTCTGGGCATTGTGCTCCTGTGATCATGGAACTTTGATTTTTGTTATTAATTCCTGTACTAATTACTCTATATTTTTTCTTTAATATAATAAAATGCTGCTGTCATACCCCTGCAAAAAAAAATCGGGATCAATGCCAATCTCACCAATCTTTTAGATCCCCTATTTTTTAAAAAAATGATTTGGGTTTCACAAAGCAATCCTTTGTTTTTAAAACCATGTATTTGCAACTAAATTCAACAGTATTCAGCTAAACATATATCTACACTATATATACATGCAGTGTTTGTATACATACGTACATGCATACATATCCCTGCATGCCTTTGGGTAGCTTGTACTTTAAAAGCAAGAACAGTAAAAAAAAAATCAAGAAACAGATTATAGAAAAGAAAAAAAACCTAAGCCTAGCAACATTTCTACAGATAGTCCTCCATAACTACAATTGGGATTGGAATCTCAGTCATTGACTGAGATGGGCATTAATGAGACGGCCGTGTGACTGCTTTGCTCAGTCCCAGCACTCTCAGTTGCAGTTGATAAGTGATGATCTCTGGGGTTGTTAAGTGGATGGAGCAAAAGAGTTGCCTGCTTAAGTATTTTAGCTCCATGTGAAATTAAAATTCTCTTATCAGGCAACTCTTTCACTCTCAAACTTTCTATAACTCACTGAAGAGTCTTCACCTCTTGTTGGTTCCCTCCACTTGCAACCTTCCCTGACAGCTTTTCAATTGACTTTGGAATTTGATTTTAGAATTTCGGAATTGGTTTTGGCATCTTGAATTGTCTACATAAGCCCTTTAGCAACCTGTGCAGGTCACAAAGTCACATGACACAACATGTCCCTCACTACCTACGTTGCTGTAGTCTGGACCTCTTATAGCCTCCAATTGCACTTCAAGATTGCACATAGCAGTCACAAGGTGCATGTCAAACAGTCATAACTGTGAACTGGCTGCCAAGCACCTAAAATGAGGTCACGTGACCATTGTGAGGGGACATTTTATTATGGCCAGAATTGCTTTGTGGGCCACAAGCATCCTTTCTGAGGCTGTTGTAACAGTTGCTGATGGCCGGTCGTAAGTCAAGGACTACATGTGCTGAACTTCAGCAGGTACCCTATGTCTACCTGGAAGAACAGTTTGATGTTCCAGAAACATTTGGAACATCATTAAGGTGGTAACCATACTGATTTATGGGGGAAATAATAATATATAGGGCAGATGCGGGGACAGAGAAAACTTGTTTCCTAGATGTCAACAAATAATGATGTTTAACAGAGGGGATCAGGAGCGTGCCCATTCTCCCCAATCATATTGGGTGGGCACAAACAATGGGAGATAGATAGTTCCTCAAATCACTAAGTTCTATGCCATAATATCCTTTATAGATAATAATGAGCATCTGGAATTGTCCCTATATGTCCCTAGCAACTAGTACAGGTCATAGAGCAATGGAATCACATAGCATAACAGACCATGTCCGTCACTACCTGCATTGCCATATTCTGGATCTGTTATAGCCTCTAAATGCTCTTCAAAGGCAGCTTGTTACTAATGCATATTAACACGTGATGTAGGAACTCCAGGGGTTCATACTTTTTCCAGGGTAAAGCTGCTTATTAGTAGAATAGAAGTAAGTGTAATATAAGAATAGCTTAAACACTCACTGAATGTTAGTTTATCTGGTACCTTATCAGTGAAAGCTATGAGATATTGTAGCAAAAACACACATATAGAAACACAGTTATTCTGACATGCTGTATTTGAGAGTGACATAAAGAGTTGGGCTAGTTGGAAATGTGACAATCTATTTAAAATACTGTACAGGCCAAATCCCTTTCTTAGGATTATACAGTACCAGATTGGTCAAAACCTTATTGATTCATTCTGATCACTTTTAACTACTTCTTTTCTCTGGCCATGCTTGCAAACCATATGAAGGTAGAATTCAGTTACGATTTTGATATAACAGGTACGTTTCTTCACAGAAACAATTATAAATTAAATGTATGTATGTATGTATGTATGTATGTATGTATGTATGTATGTATG